ACTCATTTGTTTTGTAATGTGTTGTTCATATCCCATTTAAAATGTTTGTTAATGAAGCATTCCATTTTCCATAAATAAAAACCAGTTTACAGTTAATTGCTTTGTTTCAGCAGTCACTGGAAGAGATTTTTTTTGAAAACCAAGTTAACTCAGCTATATGTTAAATAATGTAATCTGTTTGGCTTCTAAAGTGTCAGGATAGTCCAAAGCTCTATTGGTTTCAAGCCAGTAAGAGTATATTTACCTAGCAACCTATAATTTCTTTGAAGAAGTAGATCAGATACATCATTAGCTGTGCTTTGGTATAATTTTCAGAATGTGCTGAGAACTAATACAGTCTGGATTGGTGCAGAGATGTGTCACTTTGTCATACTCAAATTACAATTTATCTTTGTTTAGTCATCTCTGAATCAACATGGCCTGACTTACCCACCAGGCTAGTCTTTATTGATGATGGAGCTCTGTGAGAGCACTGAGATGTAAAATCTGCAAACCTTTATTAGAAATCCTGTTACTTTCATCAGTAGAGTCACTGCGTTTTGATACATCATTAGCTGTGCTTTGGTATAATTTTCAGAATGTGCTGAGAACTAATACAGTCTGGATTGGTGCAGAGATGTGTCACTTTGTCATACTCAAATTACAATTTATCTTTGTTTAGTCATCTCTGAATCAACATGGCCTGACTTACCCACCAGGCTAGTCTTTATTGATGATGGAGCTCTGTGAGAGCACTGAGATGTAAAATCTGCAAACCTTTATTAGAAATCCTGTTACTTTCATCAGTAGAGTCACTGCGTTTTTTTTCCATCTTCAGAGATTTTTTTTTTTCCTGGTTGCCTGAAGAAATTTTCCTTCGTTCCTTAAAGCCTGCATTGTTACAGAAGTGAAACTCTTACAGTTTATCTCTCACAGCAGAGGAGGATCACAGTGGACAAACCAACTGAATTCTAAAAGGCTGCTTTGATTTCAGTTGCCCGAGGCAGTCTGGATTCAGGCCCGCTAACTTCAACCTCGGTGTATAAGTTATTTTTGTTTTAATGCTGAAGCTAAGGCCCAGAAAGACTAAGTCATTTGTTAAAGAACACATAAGCCAGGAACACAACCAGAAAGAACTGATTCCCAGGCTTTCTTGTAGCAACTAATAATTAAGTGGGTCAGGCTAGAAGCTACCGCCTCCTTGCTTTAATCCTTGAGATATACACCTCTGAACTGGAGAAAGAAAACAAGAGTGGGGATTCCCACACCTGCTCTGCTTTGTCTTTAAGCATGAGGATAAGTGAATCACTCCTGTAGAAATGCCCTCTGGCTGTTCCTATTCTTCTGTCTGGAGTTTCTCCGCAGGAATTGCACAGAAATGTAAAGCTCCAGCACAGCCAGCCTGTATAGTTCCAGCTTTAAGGGCAGCATCTCCCTAGCCTCAGAAGGCCTGTAGCATCCATGAAGGACTATGAGATTGCTACTCCACACAGGGCAGACTCTATTTACAGAAGTACATGGTCATTCATTAGAGGACATCTCCACATTCTCACTGGTCTGCTCTACTATTTGACAAGTCCAGAGAAGTCTATGACTCTGATCATTATGGTGACAATATACCTAGCAGTTGATGCAAAAGGAGTGTGGTTTATCAGCTGGGGAGACAACTGTTCTGATTTAAAAAACTCTTTTGACTGCTAAGAAAAAAAAGAAAAATCTATTTTGAGACTTCTCTGATGTTGTTTCCCTTTACATCTCTTTATGATGTTTACTGCATCTGAAAATCAGATTTAATTTAGAATAAAGGGATTCTTTCCTCTTAGGTTTTTTAACCGAACTGCATTTACCTCAAATTCTGCTGGATGGCCACGTCAGGCACATGCATGTTTCTAAAAATAGTGATGTCTGGTCACTTAACCATTGACACTAGTCAGTGGATCTGGTATGTCTATTAAATCCAGTGCATGGAAATGACTTGACAAATTCTGCATTGTTTTTTATTGGCCTGGTGCAAAGACTTCCATAGGCTATCAAGAATATATCCACGCACAATAGATAAGAGACAAAGCTGAGTAGCTGTCCTCTGTTCCCCAGTTCCAGTAAACTCAGAATAGACAATGGGACTGAGCCTCAACAGAACCTTGAAATGTCCATTACTGGTGTAGGCAAGTTGCATTTGCATGGTTAATTAGTCTTTGATACACAGCACACTTATTCTGGTTGGACCCAGCATCTTAAAAGCACCTGCACTGGTAGACAGATGCTAGCAGCAACCTTTGCAATTTGACTTACATAGGAATAAGAATCTGCATGTTTTAGCTAGCCAAGAATAGCATCAAAGATGTATCTTGAAAGGTTTGGCAAAACTACAACAAAACTTGTTAAGGCATAAATCCATTCATATCTCTTCTTCCTGGTTTTTGTTCATTGTGCTGGTTTAGAGAGCTAGACAGATGTATATTTATGCAATAGCTAGAAAGATGTAGTTTCTTTCTTTTTTTTCTGTTCCCAGATATTGCTGTAGCATGTAAAGCCACAATAAGACTTTTTAAATCTACTGATTAAATCAGGTTTGGATAGGGATTTTGGTTCAAATGGCAAACGTGAGTTCCTTGAGCTTAAAAAAAACCCACTCATTCATTTAACTTTTGCAGGTTAGAGTCCTCAAAAGTAGTTTTAATGAATGCCCCAAAAATCATTCAGATGTTCTTAAAAATGCACCTGTTAAATGTGTTTATGAATCAAAAAAAAAAAAAAAAGTGATTTTAATGCTGGTTATGTCTGCTTTATTCATTAACCTTACTGACTCTACGAACCTATTTGGGCATCAGCAATGGAAGGACAACTTCCAGGTCAGTTCCACCTTTCCTGTCCTTAAAAATGAAGTCAAGGGAAGCATGCAAGCTCTGTGATGAGAAAAGCAAAGTGATTGATTGCATTCATAGGAGGTGGAATAATCCTATTAACTAAAGAAGCAAAAGCCAGGTGTGTTTTAACACCCAAGGTACTAGGACTAATGCTAATCTCCCAATCATTTCAAGCTAATACATGGAACACATACCATGTGTTCCACAGATGAAGATTTCATCTTCATCTGCTCCACAGATGAAGATTTTTGATGTTAATGAGTCTGTGCAAGCAAGATCCTGAGCATTTGTCTCTTTCCAATTTAACTGCCCTCCAAGGAAAGATCCAGTTACCACAGTGCAGTGGAGTGAGCTGCTTGCTCTACCAGGTTTGTGCCTCAGTACCTTGGTTTAGTATTGCAGGTTGCTGTCATAGCCTCCTCAGCTGGTAGCTCAAGAGAGAATATTTTTGCCTCTTTTTCTTTGTCTGATCTCTGACAGCTATAGCAATGTGAAGAGATGCTCTTACTCAGGATATCCACTGCAGCTTTGTTTGCAAAGGAAGTAAGGCAGATGCTAGTGGGGCTATCCAACTCAGTCATGTCATAACAGCTCTGTACAAAGAAGAAAAACAATCTCTGTAAGTTGTGTACGGTTTGGGTTTGACCTGGTACTTGCATAACTTCGAATGAATGGTCTATGCTGACTTTTGCAGCATCTAGCTTTTAAACACCCTAGGTAGAGTATGTTAAAAGCCTAGCCTCTCTTCTATCATCAATGGAGAGAACAATTTCTGACTGGTTTGGAGGCTTTCACTGACTTTGCAAGTCTATGTAACTAACTCTGATGCCATAGTTTGATAGCATAAACCCTCCTCCATAATTCACTTTTACTTCATAAACATACTACAGATGCTGATGGAGCAGGGTGCCCACGCTCCTTGGGAACTGTGTTGGAATGACAACACTGCAGGAAGCGTGAGGATGGGAAGGGGTGCCTCATTACAACACTGTAGCCTTGAGATGACAACTGAAGCCTCTGTGCAAGCAAAACTGGGGCTTTTACTAAGTGTTAACCTACAACAAAAATCGTATTCACTTGTAAGTAACATCCTCTTCTTTCTAGTAAATAACTTAAATAATTAAGTTCATTCATAATGCATTTTCCTCATGGTATTTTATGATGTAGAAGCTTTAGAAAGGAATCAAAGGGCAAAAAGATACACGGAAGATAATGAGTGTCTCTGACCTAGCATGTGTATGGCCATTTCTGCACAAGCTGCAGTGCAGATGACTTGAGATAATCTTGAGAAGAAAGCCACCTTCTGCTTCAATCAGGCCAGGTCAATCTTCGTTTAGTTTTAACGGGCTCCTCAACGAGGACACTTCCAAGCAGAGCAAGCCTGGGAATCCCCACTTCCAATGTTTAAAGGCACTTTCCATCTGTTCACAGCAAAATAAATAAGGAGACAACTTTATGCCTTTATGTAGCATAGCATTAATCTGGAAAAAGAACTTCATTGTTACCAGCAAAACAAATTATAAAGAGAAAACACAAGGGCACATTTGGATCATTTGCTTCGATGAAGACTCTAAGCTGGAAAAGTCACAGTGAAACAGTACTGGGGTTCCACAGTACAGACCTAGGTATTAGTAGGACTAGCAACGTTCATAGGGTGAATAGACTGGGAGTAAAGTTTTTCCTATAGGTCTCATTAGCATTCTGCATCACAAAATTATAACTCCATTCTGTTGCACTTTGCCATCAATAAGAAGTACTGCAACTCGCACTGACAATTCCCCGTTCTGTAACGGATCACAGACAACCGGAAAGCAGCTTTCATATAAATAAAGTGCTCTCTGTCTGACAGAGGCACTCCTTCCTCAGGTAGCTTGAGGACAAGTGCTTTGTCTTCAAAATGCATCTTTTATTGCTATCTTTGGATTTGTTTTAGGCTTGTTTTGAATTAGATGGCATCCACTTTCAAGATCAATTCAGATTCAGAAACATCTGTTTAGATGGCAAGTTTGGAAGCTTTCAAACAGGGGCCATATCTCAGCATATAGCCACCATTTCACTAAAACGGATCCATAATCTCTGCTGAAGTCTCTAATCACTAGTATGATGCAAAGCAATGATTGCAGTCTGTGAGCTAAAACCAACCCAAGTACAAAGGGAAGTTCCAAAGTCTTTTATTGTAGCCCTTGCATGGCTGAGCTGCCCTCTACAGGGATGGACTATGCAGCATCCCAAAGACAAGATGGCATGGAGAAAACCGTGAACCCTGAAGAACGTGTTCATTTGACAAGATCCTTCACATACTTCCAGCCTTCCACAGTGTATTCACAGGCCCTGGCGGGAGCTACAGACAAGGCAGACATGACTGTCTGCACTCCTGCAAGGAAAGCAAAGGAGAATTATCCCAAGAAGAGCATCATTCAAGCCAAATTTACTAATGTTACTCTAGCATCATGGATCTCTTAAAACACAGAGAGAAAAATTTAGCTTTATCCCAGAAGCTTTCAAATAGACAGAGGCTTGAATGATCCTTGAATTTTATTGCCTCAGTAGACCCTAACACAGAGAAACTCCAACTTCACGACCAGTATGAGGGTTAGATAATTACAAGATTAAAACAAAGAACTGAAACTTGTCAAAGTTTCATTTTATTCCTGGCCTTGCCACAGACTCCACAGGTGGTTTTGGACAAGTCACAGTATTTGTGGACTGTGTTTCCCCTTAATTACATGAGGACTATTTGCTGCACCATAAAAATTCTGAATTACCTTACAAGATATTTATAACATGCTTTGTCCTCTCTAAAATTCTAGCAGTAACAAGAACACTCATCCCTTTTGAAAAGATCAGAGGTTGAATTCAGACATACTAGTAGTATTAAGAATTTATACACCCTTCAACCTTACATAAAGATTCAGCATTCTCAGAAATAAGTGATCATTTCTTTTTACGCTCTCGTTTCCCTGATCAATATCTGCAATGATGAACTTACCCTACTGGTGCATAAACTGTATCTAGTTCTCATGGGACCACAGACTCCCAAACACTACTGAAACATTCAATCTCATGTTGTGGCATAGCGTAGGCATACCTGTGTTGGGACACAGGTAAAGCAAGTTTTGTAGGTAGAAGAAACATTAGCTCCTCCAGTTGGAAAAGGCAGACAGGTTTATGGGCACATCTCCTCCTCCTCACTTCATAGTTGGAAATCGAGGTATCAAGAAATGAAGTGAACTGCCTAAAGTCACCTAGTGGGCTAATGGTAGAATAGGAGCAGAATACACTTCCTTAGTCCCAGTCCAATGCTCCTTTCACCAGATTATAGTATCTATCACCCCTTCTTCACCATTCACTTTACGAGGACAACATCAAAACAAGACTTCAGGATAAGATCACTTTTAGCCCCTTACTCCATTTCACAGTTTGCTGAAAAATTATTTTACCTTTATTCCAGGAGTCAGAGGGAGAAAAGTCAAATTTTGGAGTGGGTGGAAGCTATAAAAAGAAATAGAGACAAAATATCAGCATTTGGGAGTTTCAGTTATAACACAATCCACATCACCTTGGAGAAGCCTCTTGAACTCAGATCTCAAAGACATTTAGGTGCCCAGTCGTCCTAAGTCTCAAAAGGGATCAGACATGTGGCTTAAAGTCTCGAAGTAACCTTTCCCACAGCATAAAGCAGGGGCAGAAGGCAGTATTCATCCTTTGGGTGCTCTTGAAAACACATCCACTCAATTACTTAAGTAGCTGTCTCCTTACAGTTACATTATAATCTCCAACATGGAAAATGATTTTCAAACCTTCAAAGGCTTCTCCTAGTCTGAGAGATTTAAAAAACTAAGGACTGCTCAAAGACAATGGACTACTCAGGTAATTTGCATCCAACTTGACTGTTAGGAGCTTGACAAAAACAGTTCTTTAAGGAAGAGAATCTTTTCATTAATTTTTGAAAAGCACATAGGATACTCCAATAAAAAGCTTAGGAATACCACTACATAGTGAAATATCCCTGCATAGGCTTTCTATCTCTTCTTTCAAATAAGATCTATGACCAATTGCTCTCCTCTAGGTTTAAAATTGTATCCTTCTTCCATTTCAATCCTCCTCAAAACATTCTCAGCGTGAAATCCAGATTCAACGGCAAAACTTTCGTCAACGTCATTGGAACCAGAATACCTTCCCAGTGCTTTCATTCAGAGAATGTGTATGGTTTGCTAACTACATTCACCTGCACAGTCCTTACCTCCCAGCCTATGTAATTTGTCCATTCTTGGATAGCTGGAGGAAGTGCTTCTTGAGCTTTTTTGAGGGCTTCAGCACCTTGTGTGCCACTGCCCAGCAGCCCCTGATCATATGCCACGTATACAGCTGCTCCAGCCAGGCTTCCTTTGATGACAAACCTGAAAGAATTAAAAGCACGTGAACAGGTCAGTTCACATTATATATATCAGTGCACCTTTCCCAGCAGGTTGTGACACGCAAAGGAACAGGGTTGAAAGAGCAGTTAGAAGGTCACAAATGTTTTACTGTGATGTCTTATTAGTGTCAAAAAACAGCAGAAAGATAGCTAGCTGTCCTCCCCTTTTTCCTAGATCAAATATTCCCAGTCAGCCCCTTGAAACTGTACCCCAGTTCACATATCATCAGTGACACTTGTGAAGAAAAAAAGGTGAAATTGTCAAAACTCTCTAAATATGTGCCACTTTGGAAAGTCTGAGAATTATGACATAAACTCTTGAAAAAAGGGACTAACAGATTTAGCTGTGGGTAAGAAATCCATGTTTATGATGGTTCTTGTTGCCTGGCTAATAACTACACAGATTACCTTGACAGACACCAATCTTTTGTTAAGCTCATTACAGTCCAGTTAGCATCTGACCATGCCTGTTCCTGCATTGCTTGTGCCTGTAAAGCTTCCCAGTGGAGCACATGGTGTGAAAACACTAGTGGCAACTCGCAAAGTGGAAGAAAATATTTGATCCTTAATTATTTTTTCACTATAAATAAGAGACCTGAGAGACAACATCTTTCCAAAAATTCACAGGGCAGAGAGCATTTCCCCCTCTGAAAAAACAGCAATTGCACACCTGGCAAAAAGAGAACTTGCCAGAGAGCAGTACCACGACAGCAGAGCACTTAATAGCTACAGCCACTAAGAGAGGAAGGAGCGAATCGATAGTTAAACCCGGGTATTCACAAGCATTTGGGGGATTTCTTTGATTAAGATGTATTGCTCGCTCCCAACACACCCTTCCACAACTTCTCCCTTCCAGCGGGCGGCACATCCAGGCCCGAAAGGGCTCCCTCGGCAACCAAGTACCCCCGGGGCCTTCCCAGGGTTTACTTTATGCGTCTACGCCCGCAGCGGGAAGGCCTCCAGGCTCCCGCCAGGCGTCTGGGGAGGCGCCAGGCAGCGGCCGGGCCGAGGGCGAGGCCGG